CACGCGCTATCTGATCAGTATGCAGTTTTATCAGCAAACACTCCCCCCTTTTGATGTCATGCATTTCGTTAGGGTCACGTAATTTGATTATATACACGTATATGCATTCGGCTGATGAAACAAAGTTTACAGCAGATAAATTTAGCTATATACACCTTTCATTTTCTTTGAGCAATTACCAAGTTACAAAAAATACTCCAAATAGGAATGGGCGGAACGATGGCCACATCCACTTTGAGGTTGTACCGTATCAAAAACCACTTAGTATTGTAAAGTTATCGCGCCCATTTCTACCTTGTTTTCTTAATTTTTGATGCCCCATTCCTACCCCCTAATTTTTTTTTTACACTTGTATCATGCTTTCCTTCACATTTGATTCAATGTTTTGAACCCGTTACAAACATTGTTTCATACAATTTAGTTTCCGACTTGGAAACCTTTTCTTTACACAATAAATGAAAAAGATTTTCACCTATTCATCCATTATCCATAAACATTATACTCTGCAGTTGTATCACACGACCGAAGAAGGGGAGTAATCCTTTGCTTGTACGCCAGCCCTATGGGTTAAAATGAAATGATACTGGATGAAAAAGGTGTAACATAGACATGTTCTAATTATTGAAAATGTGCTTAGATTAGTTCTCTATTGTTTCAAGTTCTCACAAGATGACCACCAGTTACTTTTGTTTGTTATTATATATATATATATATACACTTATACCAGTGGGTATCACAATATATATATATATTGTGATACCCACTGGTATAAGTGTATACGCTATGTATTATAGAGTTAGTCGGTATCTGAAACGTTGGGGTTGCATCGGTTTTTGTGGTATATGTTTCTAATAATTATATAACATATATATTTCCTACCATATGATGGAGGTATGACAATTTTACAATTGTTTCACAAATGACCAGGAATAAAATTGATGTATATATTTTCTACCTGTTTATTTGGTAGTTGTTATTTTCATTCTGAATGGCACTGCGGCTCATGGGTTAAATGTTTAAACCCCAAGACTCAAGCATGGTCGCCCCGAATTTAGAACTGCTAACCAAAGGGAGGAAACTAACCCACAACACCCACTGCCTATATGTTTACTCTTAACCTCATAACTTATTCAGTGACATATGTAGCCTAGAGTTTCGGATACGCAGCCCGCTACGCTAACCACTAGGCCACTACAGATCCCGACCTATCTGCAAAATGAAGTGAACTGTGTATTTTTATGATATAATAACATCATTTATCTTTTTATCTTGTTAGTGAAAGCTATGAAGCACTATGGTAATAATAGATGCTGCTGGTGTGCTTGAAATATAGCTTGGCCTGAAACCATGCGTTTTCTGTAGAATATGAAATATCATGATATATTTTTCAGAAATTATATCATTCAGCATCAATGTTTTAATATAACAGTTTCATGTTTCTAAAAGTTATGCAATATAGATTATTAATGAACATTAATAATTGTAGATATAATTATCACGTTCCAATTATGAATAAATAATCATTTTCAAATTATTGTTACTTAAAGTGTAACCTCAAATATTTATTTAGCATTCAGCTATCGTGTGTAGGTTTTAAAAAAATCGCTAATAATAATAGAAACAGCTATTATGCAACTGTCATTCAAATCTGATAAAACCCAATACTGGTTTGAATACCGTGTACTCTGAAAAATCCAAACCTATTCACCATGTAAAACACCATCAGTAATAAGAAAGAGGTTTTCCTACTGTCATTAAAGGAAAGATGAGATTGTTGAAAATTATCTCAAACAACTCTATAGCTGTTGCTTATTCTGTAGGAGGGAAGGCAGCAAAAAATAGAAGGATAGAAGTGTGGTATGTGTGGGTATAAACATGAGAGTGCGAGAAGAAGAAAAAAAAACGAACGAATTAGGAAAGTTTGTGACCCTAGGAAAACGTAAAGGAGAAGCAAGAGAGAGAGAGAGAAAACAAAAATGTAGCGAAAAGCGTAGAGAAAAAAATGGCGATTGAGAGACTAACCAGAAGGAAGAGTGAGAGTGTAGAAAAGTGGTAAATAAAAGAGTGCAGAATAGAAAACGATAGAGAAGAGACTGATCATAAGAATCGGCGAGTATAAACAAAAATTAACGAGGAGAAAGAGGCCGAGGTAGGAAAAGACAGAAAGAAAGGTAGGCAAAGAAAAGATTAGAGAGAATGATAGGAATAACAGAGGAATGAGAAAGAGAGCAATAGAATGAGAGATAAAAAACTGAAGAGAAGGAGACAGTAGGGGAAAGAAAGATTGAAATTATGTGTAAAAACAAAAACAAGAGACAGAAGTACAAAGACAAAGAAAGACTGAAGAAGAGGAAAAGAGGAAAATACTAAATAAATAATTATGAAAGAAGTATCGGTTAGAAAATAAGAAGGAAAAATATGCTGGAGAGAGGCAGAATAAGACGAAGTGAATAACATTTATACTTAAGAAAGAAAGAGGGTGGAAATAAAGTAGGCCAAAAGATAAGTATAAAAGGCCGTGAAAGAATGAGCTGAAGGGCGGTCGAAGTCAACTAATTTTAACTTTAAGATAGAATGAGCAGGAGGGAGAATGAAACAAGAGCAGAGGAGAGAACAAGAGAAGAAGGAATACAGAGTGGAAGATACGGAGTAGGAAACATAAAAGAATCAGAGAGAAAAGAAGAAAGATGAGAATTAAAAAGAGATCACTAGAGAAATATCACTTTATTGTAGCATAAAAAAGAAACAGAGAACAGCTGACTAAAAAATATAGACCTGAAACAGAGAACAGCTAATTAAGAAACATAGCCCAGAGACCAAAACAGATGAGTAAAAAACATAGCCCAGAGACAGAGAACAGATAAGTAAAAAACATAGCCCAAAGACAGAGAACAGGTGATTAAGAAACATAGCCCAGAGACAGAGAACAGATGAGTAAAAAACATAGCCCAAAGACAGAGAGCAGATTATTAAGAAACATAGCCCAGAGACAGAGAACAGCTGAGTTAAAAACATAGCCCAGAGACAGAGAACAGCTGAGTAAAAACATAGTCCAGAAACAGAGAACAGCTGAGTAAAAAACATAGCCCAGTGACAGAGAACAGCTGAGTAAAATATAGCCCAAATATAGAAAGTGATTAAAAGGTGAAGTGTGATTTTAGTTTTCAAAAAAAATATTCTTGATTTCACCTCCAACAGCTATTTCTTACATTCTTATGAACTTGTATAAAAATGAAACAGATTAAGTGATTCTTTTGTTTTGTTTTGCTGTTGTCTTTTCAGACAGAAATACGTCAAGAGTTCCAGTAATCGTTGTGATTCATGGGGATTCCTACGAATGGTATTCTGGGAACATCTATGATGGCAGTGTGCTTGCTAGTGCTGCTGACGTCATTGTTATCACTTTAAACTTTCGACTAGGAGTGTTAGGTAGGTATCTTTGCATAACTTTGCGCCTGAAAACACCAGTTATAATTATAATATCTAGTTATTGATGAATTTCCAAACAATAACTAAATAAGTCTTTATTAGCTAGTAAGCCAATAAAAAATACTTGTATCCAAGGTAACGTAGGAGCTCCTTTAATGAATCGGTCATGCGAAATACCCATGATCACATTCTTAAAAATAAACATAACTACTTTCATCAATCAACCGGTCATGTATAAGATAAATAAAGAAAGTCATAAATATTGTATCATAACATTCATCTCAATACATCACCCATAAGTAAACAAGTTAACAAATCAAAGCCACAGTAGAATAACAGGTCCCCTCAATCAACCAGTCACGTGCAAAATATATACAAATAGTCATCCCAAAAGTCTGGACCCATAGGGAACAATACACAATGTATTCTTAATTTATTTATTTATTATTCAAATTGCATGCAATAAACAGCCATACGCATGCCAGTTCTTGGTGTCTTATTTCCTGGAATATACAACTGATATTAAAAATATGTATGTTTAACTTCAAGAATATAATGTCTATTTTCCCTATGAGCCCAGACTTCCGGGACACCCTCCACTATCCCGTGACGTGCAAACCGTATCCTCTCCAGCATAATTACCTATCTCTATCAATTAGTTTGGTGTGAAGGAAGTATTAAACATGCCTATCCTCTCGAGTATAATTACTTATCTCTATCACTTAGCTTGGTGTGAAGGCACTATTAAACAGACGTGAAAGTATCAAATAATTATAATAACTTTAATATAGTCACTCACCTCATTAATCAAATACGTTTACTGGCTATACGGACAAAAGATTCAACCAATTTAAGGGCTTTGAATTGTATTGGCTGTAACTGTTGTGTATTTTTATGCAACAGATTAATGACGCAATTTTCTTTGAGGTATAAGTCGTTTGAATTCAAGCTTCTAATTCAAAATATACATTTATAAGTTACTTTTGTCGTTATTGGTGTGTTTATTTTGTTTTATCCAGTATACTCACGACAATTAACCAGGAATTAACACTAAAGGTAAAACATTCAGATAACTAAAACTAATACAGTCGTCTCTCCCAAGGGTGTTTATAGACGCTGATGTTTCACTGGTGGCTATCTTTGGAACATACCCAGCTGGATCTTTTTTTCATTGCAATATATCTCAAAGTGTTTACAGTCGCGTTGTGAGCACAGGCTACTGACCTCTGAAAAAAAAGGCCCTTAGAGCAGAAAATACACGTAGAAATAAAAAATATGACTATGATAAAAATTTCAGCAGAATTCATGCTGTTGTCATTATCCAAAAATTCTGAGCCTGTCAAAATAACAAAGTTGAAAAATGTATTACATTCAAGCGTATTTGTTGCATGCTTAATCAGATCAAAAGTTCAAAGGCTCGAGCCGCGAATAACCTCTGATCATGCTTCCACTTTCAGCTGTGTAGGATGATATTACTCCTACTTAATCCTACTATTCGGTTAAGAATATACTCGTATAGGTGACGGGTGCTGCTAACTAGTTTTTCATCTCTATGGTTAACAGTTCTAGATTAGGGACGACTAAGCCTAAACTGTAAGGGTCTATGACTTGGCTGTTTAGCCCATGTGCCACACGTGGCTTCCTCCATGATGAAAATACCAAATACGATAATTACATTACATTGAATCATTATCTGATTACCCTCAGTATCAGCGATATTTTCGGCCTCAATTCCAATAATACCTCACAAGGTTTGGACATCCTATGACACTTATTGCTAGTCTTAAGTTCATTAACTAGGCTAATGATGAAAAATAATGTTATAAGTGTAAACGTTAATAAAGATAATATTGAAAACTATTTTACCTTATAACCAATAATGTTAATAAAATCAACTTTAAATAAAAATTAAGTGTGCCACTCTGTACAAAATACGTAAGAATCAACATATATTTATCCCGAAATGCATTATGCCCATAAATGTAGTTTACTCATTTTTTGTATTGTAATGCAAAAACTAGAAAATGTACTTCTCTAATATACAAAACTGTATTAGATAGAACATTTATAAAATCACATCCCGAATATCTATATTCTCAAACCACAAAAATTCTGATAACCCACATGTTTGTCACACTACAAAACAAGCCAGGTGGGTTTTAAATTTATTCAGATGGTCTTGCCCTTTGTTGCGAAGAGGCCTTTAATGCTAAAGTTTGTGGTTCGATTTCTGCGTTAAGCATAACGCAGAGAACCCACTGTTAAGCTTTGGGTTTAACAATTAACAAATAAACAACATTTTGTATCAAGCCTAAAAGAAATTTATGCAAAAACTATAACAATTAAACAAATGCACAGAAACTTTGTATTTACTATTTTAGAATATTTATAAGCATTGCATAAAAAACGAAATATAAATTAATAGTGTTAAAAGCGCTTTCATGGGTCTGATATAAAACAATCTGCATTAAATCTTATCTTTATAATATCTACATAAATATCTTATCTTTATAATATCTACATAAAAATCTTATCTTTTTATTATCTACATAAAAATCTTATCTTTATAATATCTCCATTAAATCTTATCTTTGTAATATCTTCATTAAATCTTATCTTTATAATATCTACATAAAAATATTATCTTTATAATATCTACATAAAAATATTATCTTTATAATATCTACATAAAAATCTTATCTTTATAATATCTGCATAAAATTCTTATCTTATCTACATAAAGTTGAAAAAATTCATGAATTAATTTTTAAAAGAAGGAAAACTATTTTGAATTATTAGCTTGATATATACATTTAGGCCTAAACTAAATATGAAAGCGCCCGGATTTCGTGATTTATGCTTTCTAATCAGTTTGTTATATAGAATTGGCTTTGTTAATTTATAAGATATTGTTCTGATCTATGTATTTAATTTCCATTAGAAGTTCTTACATAATTTCAAGACCTTAAGATTTACCTTTTATAAAGTTTGATTTGGGATTTATTTCATAATATTTAGTTAGAAAATTTACGTAAAGTGGCGTGTAGGTTACATGGTTTAATTAACTAATTTCCCCTTTTGGGGGGATTTATGTAAATAGCCTGCATTTATTTCATATCATTTAATTCGAAAATTTTACGCAAAGTAACGTATAGATTACATAGTTTAATTAGCTATTTTTTTCTCTTTTTGAGATTTTATAAATAGCGTACATTTTTATTTCGTAATATTTAATTACAAAACCTTATGCAAAGAGATGTGGAAGTTACATGGTTTATTGTTTTCCCTTTAAATATAAACACAAAAAAAATAGAGAACGGCATTCCTGTTGCAATATATTCCTCCATTCTGTATTACAGTTGTTTCAAAATGTGAGGACTAAGCTTTCTATGGATTTCTTCTGCCAATTTTATTGGTTTTGACGAAGTTTCAGACTTAGGACTTACCATAGAGCTCGCAACTTCGTCTCCAAACAAAGAGAAACTACAGGAAAAGTCTGTATAAAACTCAGTTCATAAGTTGGACACACTAAATCCACTTTGATGAGTGTAAATTAAAACGGTTCAGACTTGAAATGGGGTATTTTCTTTTTCTTTCCATCTTTGGTTCTCAGAGTGCTGACTTCAACTGTTTTCTTTTTATCTCTCTGTTTACGCTCTAGCATACTCTAAGTTGTTGATTGCTGATGCTATATATACAATAAGAACGAAGAAGTAATACTTTGTTGCTGGACGTGTCTTATTTATTATTGTCAATCTGAAAATATAATAAAGCCTTCTTAACAAAGACAAACACTTAACATAGTTGCAAAAGCTCTGTCACATAGAAAAAAGAAGCAAAAAAGTGATAAACTTTTCCGAATTTCACTTAAACATGACAGATATTTATCTGCACTTCAGAACGCTACTGAGCTCGATTTTGTTCAGTAAATATTTACGTTTTAATTTGTTTCTCCGTAATGCGTGTAACTAAAACACTAAAATTTGAAACTGTTTGATATTATTTTTTATTTTACTGTCATTGATTTTTATAGAATTAATTATTGTTCTGTACTTATCAAAACAGTTATTCTACACACATACCTTTTTTATTCATAAATCGTTATTATTTAAAAGTCGAACACATCTTTGTTATGTAATCCTGCTTTTCTCGTTTTCCAGGGAATTCAGAGGTTGTAGGGTTACTTAAGAGCTTTGTTCTTCAGAGCTTTGTAGTTTTATTTCCCCTACTTCTAGAGCCAAGATAGAAATAGAATCTTAGAGGCCCACAGTAAATGTATATACAAGACTGACCTAAGTGCTAAACCTAAATTTGTTTATTTGTAATTCCTATTTTGTATTGTCTGTTTATTTGTTTATTAACTTTTTATTGCATTTCATGAAGAGGTAAAAAAAAAATCATAAAATTATATATAAACAAAAAATTCCTACCTTTTCTACGGTGGTCGAAATCAGTCTGAATTAAAATACACCTTATAACTTTAGCACAAAGTACCAATTACTGTAGGTTGGTGGTGTTATTTCAAAATATTTAGTTTTTCTTTACCTGAATTACACTTATGACGAGTTTGCATGACTGGAAAATGTGCACTTTTTATTTTACCCCCATGGTCTATTAGGTTAAGGCTAAAAGACTAAATTCAGGAAATCTTAGAATGGATTACATGGTCTTTTATTTAAATATGTGTTTATTTTTAATTAAGCTGTTATATAATGTTGATACAATCAAACCCTGATAAACTTTATAATCTAAAAAGCACCTTAAGCTGAAACGCTAAATACAATAAAGAAACAGGTTAATTATGTTTCATACACTAACGAAATTTTCTTCTTCCTAACACTAAAAACTAACTAACGTTTATTGGTTTTGATAATCCTTGAGCGAATTTTATAATTAAACTAATTTTTGTTATAGAAAAAAAATTTTAATGGGAATTCCTTATTAATTCAAGTAATTATTAAAAGTATTCGAGAGTAGAAAAATACTGTTTTCTATTAGCTTAACTTCGTAGTAGTCTCCAAACTGTTTGCTAAATGGAATCAACGATCTATAATTTCAGTATTTTAAATCAACTTACTTTCTCCTTAAAGTAATTATTACTGTGATTAGTTAATCATAAATTAAGGTTAACAGTATAAAGTATCCTATTAAAGAATATGAAATTTATTCAGAGTTTAATACAAAGTTTCAGTAAAATAAATGAAATTTCATAAACTTTGATTAATTGAAATCAGATTTAAGAGTAAACTGCTGGATAGTTTGTAGAAGGTATTACTGTCTTTCATAAAACATTAGGATAAAAAGTAAGTATGATATTCCATGTATTTTAAATGGTGGAACTTAATGTTATCGAGAGTAAACATTTGAAGTTACTTTTAAAAAGAGTTGAGTAACGACTTTAGATCTTAATCACGTCGTTACATTTTATGTCGCCACGTCCAGTCACGCGCTTTCTCACGACTGTGCATCTTGAAGATAGCCCTACAGCGTAGTTTTCATTGCAAAAGGCTCCATCGTAAGACTATCACGTTCAAAGCACACCACTCCACCCTCTTGCTTTCTATCCAGTGTCCAAGGACGACGGTTTCTCAGTTTCTCACGCCTGTTTCAACAGTCCGATCAAAGATAAATATGTAGGTGTAGTTGTTGTTCTTGCAGCTTGATAATGTAAGTAGCGTAGGAACTACTACTTTATTCCAGTCAACCTGATGGGACCTGCTATTTACCGAGAGGCTTTGTCACACTGGATATGACAAATATCGTGTGGTTGATGTATTATTATACGTTCTTACTTACTTTCACTCTTAAGTTGCTAGAAGTAATATGAAATAGCATGAATACCTGTTCCATTCTCTAGTTGCTTGAAATATGCGACGATTGAACGGGAGGTATCGGTGGACGTCTTATCTTAGTGAACCCAAAACCCTGTTGACCTCTTTCAATACGGAAATCGAGTTTGATTATATTGCGTACTGTTGCATGGGATGTGTGGACAGCTTTTGTCACTGATCTTTATTACTAGATTTTCACCTTTTACAAGACGCCGCACTTTGGTTATAATGGCTGAGGTACGACTTAGGGTTAAAGAACCATACCGAAGGTCTTTTTCTGGATGGTTCTATAATCCCAAGTTGATCAATATTCCTTGGTCCCCAATGTCATTAAGTATGCAAGGGATATCCTCGTCTGGGAAATTATAAATTCACGAGTTAAACCCATCTTTATTATCTGAGTTCACGAATATTTTGCTTCTGAAAGGCTGTTACATACCATTCCCAAAAGCTGTCAGATTTCGATGGCATCAAATTAAACAGTGTCAAAATGTAGCTCTGATACATACTGTTCCATCGTGATTTTATATTGGCATGTTCAAAATCGTTTTAACAATGTATTCAGTCGCGTATGCTTATTAGTGTTTTAAATAATAAAGATTGACTTTCATTGAGTTAGAAATATACACCTTACTTCTACATCCCAGTGGAAAATCACTTACAACTCATCTTTATAGTTAAAAGTGAAAACTGCCTTTTTTGTTTTACAACTTTCCAGAGGAATATTTCATCTCTAACAATTCTATTTCATTTTGAGATCGATGTGTCACTTTTTCTCTCCGACAGCAAACAGAGAGGCTCTTTAGATTTGCCTATCTTTAGCTATATCGCTTAGCCCTTTAGCTATCTCTAATGAACCTAGTTACTTGTAATTCATAACAACCCTCAATGTTTATCAAATTAACAAAGCAGTCAAAGCAGCTAACTGGTAATAATATCCTTTATATACACAACTAACGAGCATGAAAGTATTTCAACACTTTGTTATATGTAACTCGATTGTTTCTGGGAGGTATAGAGAGAGAGATGCATGTTTTAATACTTATCTAATTAAACCTTAAATTCTCAACGTTTTTTATAAAGTTCATTACTAGTCGGATACGTTTATCATAACACTGTAAATAATAAGCGTTTGGGTGAAATGCCTCGTTTTCTGTGTAAATTACTAAAGGGACCTGAGCAGTTAGTGGAATTAACTGAATTATTAGTGTATTTTTTGTGAGTGTTATTAGGAACGCTGTAACCAACACGGCCATTGATTGGCAAACAATTTGGGGGCATAAACAATTTAGTAAAAGCGTTTAAAAAAAAGCAGATGGATAAGAACTTCATCGTAAATTCTATGGTTATTGGCTGTATTATTTTTCACCAATATTCTGTATAGCTTAAGGAGTATTCTGAGCTTAAAACTGAAACCTGATAAAATTTCAACTTATCACCTCAGAACAGTTGAAGATCAATATGAGGAGCCAAAATGTTGCATTTACTTCAATGTTCCTAGCTAAACTCGTACGTTGAAAATGAACTTCTTAATAAGCGTAACTAAAAGACAAAATTGTAAAATATTATAGTTGCTTGTCCTCCGGTAACTCCACGGTAAGTCAGAGTGCTTATAACATTAAAATATGGTTTCGATAGCAACGGCGGGAAGAGCACAGACAGTTAATTGTGAAGCTTTGTACTTAACAATAAAAAAACGTATTTGTTTGCGTTATTCACGAGTAGGAGATGAACTTAATTCAAATCCGTTGAAAGTTTTAAATACGTGTATGAGTGTTAATTATAAATAAAGTTTTTATTCACTAAAACACTGATTATAATATCAAAACCGTCATTTATTTGTTTGTTTTTTCATTTTCACCGATCTGTAATAACTCATGTCGTTCATTTATCTAACGTCGGGTCCGGCATGGCCAGGTGGTTAGGGCGCTCGGCTCGCAATCTGCGGGTCGCTGGTTCGAATCCCGTCACACCAAACATGCTCGCCCTTTCAGTCGTGGGGCGTTATAATGTGACGGTCGATCCCATTTTCGTTGGTAAAAGAGTAGCCCAAGAGTTGGCGGTGAGTGGTGATGACTAGCTGCCTTCCCTCTAGTTTTACACTGCTAAATTAGGGACGGCTAGCACAGATAGCCCTCGTGTAGCTTTGCGCGAAATTTGAAACAAACAAACAAATATATTACGTCAGAAGCAGCAATATCACACTTATGCTATTAATCCAGATCATACTTAAATATATAAGTATATGCTACATTTGTTTTTATGATTAACTTATATTTATTCCTAAAGTATTTTCGTTTTAGGTAGCTATGCATATTTAGGTATTTTCAAAGTATTTTTAGCACAATTTAAATATCGGAATTATTTTTTAATGCAAAGATGTATTTTCTTTATATATATATATATTCTTACAGGATTTCTGCCGTCACTAACTGGAGCAGCCCGTGGAAACTATGGACTTATGGATCAAGTAGCGGCTTTGCACTGGATCAGAGAAAATATCGCAGAATTTGGTGGCACCATTGACAACATTACTCTTCTAGGTCACGGTCACGGAGCAGCCCTCGTGAACTTACTGATGTTGTCCCCTATGGCTAAAGGTTATATTTGTTAAATTTTTAACGAGTGTCGTTCACTGTTAAGTTATTTTGTGAGTGACGAAAAAAAAGAGAAGTAATTTATATATATATTTGTTTGTTTATGTTAAAAACTTTTCTTAAAGTTATACAAAGGGTTATCTGCGAATAATCGTCTCTAAATTTGATCTCCTAAACTAGAGAGAAAGCAATTAGTCAACAGCACCCACCGTCAACTCTTGGGATGCTCTTCTCTGATCAAATATCAAAATTTGTCCGTCTCTTTTATATTGCACCCAATTACGTTAGCTACAAGGCCACGCCCAACCCATAAACGTATCTAAGCCAGAATACTCACATAATGAGTCTGCCTTAAGTCTCTCTTTAATCTTCACTTAAACAAATAACAGTTGTAGACGTGTTAATTATAAAAAATTAACACATTTAACAATAAGCTGTATTTTAATTTTATTCTTTAAGTGAAACAAAGGTATCTCAAAAGTAAAGATATAAACATGATAATTTTCAGACATAAAAGGTGTTTGTCTCTGATTAACGCTGATAACAGCAGTTGTTGTAATGCAAGATGAGGACGATAATGTGAACTCAATCGTCCAGCTTTTATTTTTGAAGTTATAAACATGATGTGATATGTAAAGAATTGCAAGTATTTTATAATTACTGCTACAAACACAGGTACGAAGTTAATTAAAACGTACATGCATGTTAATGTTACTGAAACTGGCTGTGTGTTTTGAAAATCGACTTAGTTTAGCATTAACTGCTGGTAAACATGAGTTCCCAAAAAACTTACTGCATCACATTTTGAAAATGACTTTAATAGATGTTAACATGGAGTTGAATCTTATAGTTGTTCTGAACAACATATGGTGTTTAGTCATATGACTTCACACTAAAAGCAAACTCTCACAAGGTCATGTTAGACTAAACCATAGTCAAAATGGCCGCTTAGGTGCATTAATATACCACGAATGATTAATAAATCATAGAATTGATTAATGAATCATAAGGTCATATATTTTATCATTAAAAAAAGGAGATAAAGATATTTGTTGAACTATAAAATACATGAAAAGGACCCCCAGTCTAAAATTAAGGTTAATCTAGCATGGTTCGCGTTGTACTCTTTAAAATAGAACACAAGGACGGCCCACGCCCTTATCTATAGTATTACATTTGATGATTATTAATAACAGGGAGAAAAATCCGAATAATTATATAAAGCTAAGTATATTTTCAGTGATTGAAAGGTTTGATTTTACTATTATAAGTCGTAATTAATATTAATATTTAGCTATGTATGTTAACCAGCTAATTCATTTTTTTTTCTGGTTAGCTTCATTAAACCTTAATGTTATAATGTTTTTTTCTGGTTAGTTTCATTAAACCCTAATGTCATAATGTTTTTTCTGTTTAGTTTCATTAAACCTTAATGTCATAATGAAGATTATTTTGCGCTGCCAAGTTTTTTGGTCAAACCTGTGGATTGTACTGAAATTAACTTGTCTGTTGAATTTCCTACAAAGCTATTCGATAGCTATCTGTGCTAGCCGTCCCTAATTTAGCAGTGATAGACTAGAGGAAAAACAGCTAATGAGCACCATCAATTGCCAACTCTTGGGCTACTGTTTACCAACAGATAATGAGATTGTCCGTCACATTATACCGCCCCTAAGGCTGAAAGAGCGAGCATGTTCGATGGTGGTATTCGAACCCGCAACTCACGCAGGTCCTAATGGGATTACAGGATACTCAGCGCAATTTAATCATTATTGGTTTTAGTTGTTTAACATATTGATTAATAACATCAATAATTACAGTCACACTGAATTGTCTAAATTACGGTATAAACTATTTGAAATGATTTTAGTTGTATTTTTTAGTAAGCTTATTTTTGATCAAAAGTACTTAATAATAGGGCTTTTCTCACGAGTAATCCTGCAGAGTGGATCGGCTCTCAGCCCGTGGGCCATGGCCTCAGAATCCCCGACATATACGAGACACCTGGCTCTAATTCTTGGATGTCCAGTGGACAATCACGTGTTAATGGTGGCCTGTATGAGACAGCGACCTTTATCCGACATAATGAGGGTCCAACTGCTTGTTCCCAAACACCTAACAGGTTTCGGTCCAACTGTAGATGGAATTGTAATCCCAAACGAACCAGAAATGCTCTTAAGGAACTACAGCTATCTTCATAGCCAATATGAACTTTTAATTGGAGTTACTAGGAATGAGTTCTACCACCATTTTTCTACAATTGATGAAAAATATGGTATAGAGCCAGATCGAAGAGATAAGCTTTTGCGCACTCTTGTTAGAAATGTTTATACTCATCACCTCCAAGAGATCTTTCTTACAATTGTTAACGAATACACAGACTGGACTAAAACTGTGCAGCATCCAGTGAACATACTCCGCAATACAGCCAGCGCCTTAGGTGATGCGCTAATTGTAGCTCCCGCCATTCGCGTCGCGAACTATCACTCTAAAGTCAACGACAGAACATTTCTGTACGTCTTTGGTCACCACACCGAACATGGAAATTATCCCGGAAAGTTTGGATGTGTACATGGTGAGGAGCTGCCCTATGTATTCGGTGCACCTCTCGTTGATGGAAACTTGTCGTATTTCCAGTACAACTTCAGTCATGCCGAGCAGACTTTGTCAATGGCTGTTATGACGTATTGGACGAATTTCGCAAAGTATGGGTAAGGAAGAATAAGATAAAAATATTAAATCCATAAATAACACATATTATGTTAACAAAGCCAGAATTGAATAGTATTGTCTTAAAGCGTGCTCGTAATGATAACTGCAATATTATAAGTTCTCATGAACAGGGGAAGCTATTATGTATTATTGTACACATTAATATATGGACGTATAGATCCTAAAACTTGTCTGTATTTGATATGTATCTATCGAAATTGTTACTTTAGTTTTATTTTCTCTATTGATAAAATTTTAAATCTCACCATTGAAATTTCGAAATACATCCTAAGGTACATAATGACTGGAGAAATTATCTGTTATTTATTATCATGAAGAGTATTTCTTAAACGTAATAGCAACTTACGGAAACTAAAAGTCACCCAGTTTGCAATACAGTTTGCAGTTTGTTCATGTATATTTTAATTTACTTATTAATTAAATGTATATAATTTATGGCAAAATAGCTATTTAATATGATAATCTCCATCAGGAATCCTCGAAGTTAAACTGAATGAAATTACTCTGAATTTCTTTGGCAGATATAAAAATTGGCTTTGTTTGTAAAATATTGAGACCCCCCGTTAGATATACTTTAGTTCGAACAAGTAAAACTTTATTTTTTTGTTATTGATTTTTTTTTTCAAAATATTTTTTGCTTATGCATATGTATATCAATTTTGAAGGCTTATTCATGAACTGGCTCTGACGATGTATATATATATATATATATATACATTCAATTTGTTTTAATGGATTATTCATGAACTGGCTCTAACGATGCACATATATATATATATATGTGTGCATTCAATTTATTTCAATCGATTACTAGACCACTCATGACCCGTTGGATCACCCAATATGCAGAGGTTATGAAGAATTCAAGCTAATTTCAATATTGCACCGAAATGAAAGTTTATTTTGAGATAATTCAATTAAATATTTCAATCCATTCGTGTTATTCATAATTCAATAACATATATTTGATTGTTGATCGGG